TAAACAAGTACTCTTAAAGAGAATATGTATGCAGGCAACAGATGATCTATGACCGACTCTTCACCATAAAACCCCAACCATAGTGCAGTGCGTTCTTAAATATTTTACATTTGGTCAAGTACGCCAAAGAAACCTGGCTTCCTCCAGTGGCCACTTCTACTGTTTATTTAGTTGATTAAAAAGTTCTATAGTTAAGACATTTCGTAGTCTTGGGTTCTCCTTATAGATATCTCCTGCAATACCTATTGGGACTGAAAGTTAACAGGGTCGCTTAATACGCTTACTCATAGGGCTGCTTGCCCCCTCCCCCCCCCCCCACCCAATTAAAAAAAAACCACATGCTGTAGCTGACATGAGAGAAGTAACTAGCCAATAGAAGAGGGAATCGCTCACAGGAGAGTAGTAACAGACTAACAGAAGAAGGAGTGGCTTAAAGAGAGTAGTAAATGGCTAATAGAAGAGGGAGTGGCTTAGGGAGAGTAGTAAATGGCTAATAGATGAGGGAGTGGCCTAAGGAGAGTAGTAAATGGCTAATAGATGAGGGAGTGGCTTAAGGAGAGTAGTAAATGGCTAAAAGAAGAGTGGGTGGCTTGCTTACAGGAGAGCAGAGACTGGCTAATAGAAGTGGGAGCAGCTTACATGGAAACAGTAACTGGGTAAATAAGAACGCGTTCATGCTTTTGGAGGCAACTAGAAAATAGAATTGAGTCTCTCTACATGCAGGCATACAGAAGAATAGGTCTTATTTCCTCAAGGAGAGGGGAGGGGGAGGAGCAGAGAGAGAGGTCCTGGGAAGAGTAGAAATAAAAAGAGAGTTGGTGAGGGAAATAGATGAAGACAAGTTAAATATTTTGGGCAAATTAAAAGACAACACTTGTTTTAAACGTACCGTGATGGGGGAGGGGAAGGACGAGTAGAAAGCAAGAGGTGGACAACGATACAAGTGGGCGAATAGCATCAAGAGATGGAAGAATAGCAGCAGTCTCAGGGAGTGTACATCCAGGACGAAAGACAGAGCCTGTTGAAGAGCCATTGCATTCTAGCTTCATTGTGAATTGTGTAAAAGATGCCTGAAGCCCGGGGGGGGGGGGGGGGGGGGGGAAATGTTAGGATTGTAAATCACCATGTTTATGCATAAGGCTGGGATTTTTTCACATGGACTTCTAGTAATTTTCCCGGATCCCTGGGTCGTAAGATCGGACGCCCGTTTGTATTACTAGTCACGCGAAACAAAAATACCCTGGCAGTTAAAAATCAAAAAGAGTAGTCTATCGGCGCTGCCCGGGCAAATTTAGAGTTAAAAATCTACCCAAAGTATTTAAGGATCATCGCCGGTGCTACGGAGTTCGTGAGCTGCGCTGAGACTCTTCAGACTCAGGCTTGAGTTAGAAAAAGAACGAAGTACTTATAGGTTACTACTCGTGTGCCATGATGTTGATCCGTTGTTCAAACCATCAAACCATGTTTGTAACAGGAAAAACATGCCAGGTTGTTCTCAGAGAAGTTCCCCGAAAACACACTGTCTCACATCCGACTGTGGCGGGCCAAAACAGCAGCCGGCCATAGAACAATAGATCTCCTGGTAGAACAACAGAGCCGCAGCCGAGAAGCTCGCCCAATGATTTCATCAGACGAAGTGAGTTCTTTAGCGATGTACTTTTTTTCTCTGCCAGGCGCGGTTTTGTGATTTCATGGTTAGTGAATGAGTTTTACCTGGGAGTTTTTTTTCCCATACAAAAATAGGTGCCAGTACTAGTCGTTAGGTATCTAATAAAGGTGCCGGTACGGTACTCACTAAAAAGTATCTGTTATAAGATTCACGATTCACAAAATAACACCAAAACAAGAACAAGTTCCGATACTTGCCGTTGCATGAGGCTAGGACAAAGCGAGTTTTTCAATTCTATGATACAGTGCAGACCTGATAAGAAGAACTCACCGGGAACTCAAGAATTTTTTTTTTTTTTTAAATTAGAAATGTTTCTCATTCAGATAAGAATTAATCAAGAAAAAATGTAGGGGATAAACACATGGTACTTCATTACAGAAATTCTCCACATCCGAGATCGCCTTAAGGGCGTGACTGTATCCAAATACTAGGACAGCAGCTGCTTAGTCCTGTAAGTCGAGGTATGGTATGTCTACTTATCTATTGTCCCGTTATATGTCACATAGGACTCGTAATCTTTTCCTCCATTGTCCAGTTGTACCGTTATGTGTCACATAGGGCTCTTAGTCTATTCCTCCATTGTCCCGTTGTACCGTTATGTGTCGCATAGGGCTCTTAGTCTATTCCTCCATTGTCCCGTTGTTTATGTGTCACATAGGGCTCTTAGTCTATTCCTCCATAGTCCCGTTGTACCGTTTGTGTCACATAGGGTCTTAGTCTATTCCTCCATAGTCCCTTGTACCGTTATGTGTCACATCTTAGTCTATTCCCCCATTGTCCCGTTGTACCGTTTTATGTCACATAGGGCTCGTAGTCTATTCCTCCATTGTCCCGTTGTACCGTTTTATGTCACATAGGGCTCGTAGTCTATTCCTCCATTGTCCCGTTGTACCGTTTTATGTCACATAGGGCTCGTAGTCTATTCCTCCATTGTTCCGTTGTACCGTTATGTGTCACATAGGGCTCTTAGTCTATTCCTCCATTGTCCCGTTGTACCGTTTTATGTCACATAGGGCTCGTAGTCTATTCCTCCATTGTCCCGTTGTACCGTTATGTGTCACATAGGGCTCTTAGTCTATTCCTCCATTGTCCCGTTGTACCGTTATGTGTCACATAGGGCTCTTAGTCTATTCCTCCATTGTCCCGTTGTACCGTTATGTGTCACATAGGGCTCTTAGTCTATTCCTCCATTGTCCCGTTGTACCGTTATGTGTCACATAGGGCTCTTAGTCTATTCCTCCATTGGCCCGTTGTACCGTTATGTGTCACATAGGGCTCTTAGTCTATTCCTCCATTGTCCCGTTGTACCGTTATGTGTCACATAGGGCTCTTAGTCTATTCCTCCATTGTCCCGTTGTACCGTTATGTGTCACATAGGGCTCTTAGTCTATTCCTCCATTGTCCCGTTGTACCGTTATGTGTCACATAGGGCTCTTAGTCTATTCCTCCATTGTCCCGTTGTACCGTTTTATGTCACATAGGGCTCTTAGTCTATTCCTCCATTGTCCCGTTGTACCGTTATGTGTCACATAGGGCTCTTAGTCTATTCCTCCATTTCCCCTTTTGTACCGTTATGTGTCACATAGGGCTCTTAGTCTATTCCTCCATTGTCCCGTTGTACCGTTATGTGTCACATAGGGCTCTTGGTCTATTCCTCCATTGTCCCGTTGTACCGTTATGTGTCACATAGGGCTCTTAGTCTATTCCTCCATTGTCCCGTTGTACCGTTATGTGTCACATAGGGCTCTTAGTCTATTCCTCCATTGTCCCGTTGTACCGTTATGTGTCATATAGGGCTCTTAGTCTATTCCCCCATTGTCCCGTTGTACCGTTTTATGTCACATAGGGCTCGTAGTCTATTCCTCCATTGTCCCGTTGTACCGTTTTATGTCGCATAGGGCTCGTAGTCTATTCCTTCATTGTCCCGTTGTACCGTTTTATGTCACATAGGGCTCGTAGTCTATTCCTCCATTGTCCCGTTGTACCGTTTTATGTTACATAGGGCTCGTAGTCTATTCCTTCATTGTCCCGTTGTTCTGTTGTTTCACATACATTGGGTTGAAGTTACTTTGACATTTTCCTTGATAAGATTTCATATATTAGGTCTTCATCCAGTTCTCTTAAAGTCTTCAAAAAATGCTTTTTTTTTTTTTTTTTTTGTCTCAACTGTAACGAGCGAAAGTCATCAATAGATGTTTATTTCCCCAAGTTCTGCGTAAGGCTGTAATGCAATGGTGCTCAACTTTCCTAATGCCACGACCCTTTAATACAGTTCCTTCATGTTGTGGCCACCCTCAGCCATTTATTTTTCTTTAAAACTTCAATGAGTACGTGTTTTACGATGGTCTTAGTCGACCCCTGTGAAAGGATCGTTCTACCCAGACAGGGGTAGCGACCGGCAGGTTGAGAACCACTGTGTAATGAGAAACTCTCCAGTACATCTAGATTGAGCAGTTTCTGCTTGACCTGTAACTGTACACCCAAATTTTGCCTCTTATTTGCTTGACTGATAACGTAACTTGACGAAATTATCGTCATTATCAGATCTGCGATTAAGCAAAAAGGGCTCTGTAACAATACTTCACCACTTTTTCGGGTGCCCTGTAACAAACTGAAACCGGTTCTATAACAATAATTCACCAGTTTTTGACGATGACTTGTAACTATCGGAAACTGGCTCTATAATAATAATTCATCACTTTTTGGCTGTGACTTGTGATTAACCAAAATTGGATCTATAAAAATAATTCAACACTTTTTGGCGGTGACTCATGATTAACGAAAACCGGATTTATAACAACAATTCACTAGTTTTTGAGGTGACCTTTGACTAACGGAAGCCGGCTCTGTAACAATAATTCAACAGTTTGGAGTTACCTGTGACAACGTAAGCCTCATAATTCACCAGTTTCAAATTTTTGACAGAAGTCCCTGTTACAACCAGATGTCACCAGTTTGTGGGCCACATTCTAGTCACGAAACCATTTAACTCAACTACCCAAAGTGCTCGTATGTACTCGTACTGACTCTCAAACGGATCAAACTCAAAACTGTATTATTCATGTACCGCTTGCACACATCCTCACAGTACAGACCAACCTCGACATCTTCTACCCATCCTTAGCGACTCCAGAATCCTCCACGTGTGACCAAGCCATCTGGAGCTTCAAGGATTAAGCACTGGAAAATGTGTTGAGATACCTGCTCTTTCCAGTACTTCAGTGTTTGTGGTCTTGTCTTGCCGTTTGATGGAACGTATTCTCCGTAAGTCCATTGACTTGAATCTGGTCCACATTTGAACTCATCACAACCCTCGTGTGGCGACACTAACATGAAAGCTACTTCAGTTATCGAGAACATTCTTCTCATCCTTTTTGGCTGCCTCGCTCAGTCCCTGATCTTGGCAGCCATCCAGACGTGCAGAATCCGACTGAACCCTGACCTCAACGACCATATCACCCAGTCGTGGCTGATGGAGGACTTTATGTTGAGAAATTCCTCCGCCAAGCTTGAGTGTGCAAGCCGCTGCCTTCAGGAGAAATCATGTGTGACCTTCATGGTTGACAGGACCCGGAAGAGATGCCGCCTGTACGCTGCTAGAATTACTCGCTACAATACTCTTGTGGATGCTGTTGGCTTCCGTTCTTACGACACTTGTCGAGGTAAGTCTCTCGCTCTTTGTTCTCTTCTTTTTCTTTCTTTTATCCTGCGGGCTAAACCGTTGTTCTTCTTCTTCTTCGTTCACCGGCTGTGAATTCCGGCGGAAGGTCCCGGTTAATCGTCCGCTTGGACTTTTGGCTTTTACCTGGACCTGATTTTTGCGTGTACAACCGTTTTGCTGTTCCCTGCCTCATGGGCAGCTGTACTCAGACTTCGAGGGAAGACGCCAGGCCTATTTCTAGGATGACTGTGGTCATTGTTTTGTGTGGGTCGAGACGTTGCCTGATTTGTGTGGTGTCTACTTTGTCTCCTTCTCCGCAGGTATTGCCCCCGGAGTACCCCTTTGGGGCAGCCCCCTGTGGAACGGTTGGCCCTCAAGGGAAGGCAGGGGCAGATCATGGGCATTCCCCGCCATCCAAGGAGGCTTCCATTTTTGCAGAGCCGGCACATGGCGCTCTGGTTCTGGGCACACCCAAGGAATCGTCACGTCCTGCACATGCCTGCTTGACCTCACAACCGTATTAGGCCTCCCGCTCGACAAGGGCTGCGCCCTCCGGAAGTCAACGGGGAGCAGCCCGCGAATTATGGACTTTTGTGGCCACCCAAATAGGTACTTTCTTTTTCTTCGCACGTTAGGTATCTTTAACGAGCCGTTAGCCCGACAAAATTCAACATCCTGCGTCAGGCATATCGTTATCTGTTTGGTCCCAGCACTCGGGCGAGTGTGGTCTTTTGGTGTGGACATTTAGACTTTTTCCGTTCAATACGATTTGGGATGGTCAGATTTTGAGCTTACTCGTGTGACGTAGGTTCTAGTTTTGTTGGACATTTAGGCTTAGCCAGCCGATGGATGGTTGCTGTCTTGGTGTACCTCAGCGCGGCGACGACGACACTGAGGGTTAACAGAGGATGTACATGGGTTGAATCTTGCTACGAGACGCCACCCACAGGAGATGTTACTCGTCTGTGCTGCGGGTTGAGTCTCAGCAGAACAATGTTCTCTTCACTCCATCATCTTTTAACCGAGGGTTGTAATTTTAGTTGTACAATCGGCAAGCACTTTACCCGTGTTCCTAATGAGTTTTGATAACCTTTTTCACTTATGCGTTTGGGGGCGGGCTGATGACAGCCACAAGGACACATCACCTCTGGGGGCCGCCAAACTCCGAGATCCCCTGACAGCTCTGTTAATGCTAATTTGAGACATTATCCGTGGCGCACGACGAGGACGTGCTGCAGGGGTCTTGCGTGAGGTTCCGTACAACGAGAACAGTGAAGGACTGGCGCCCGAGTGACGTACGGAGTATCTCCTTATTCACATCATAATGGACTTAACTTTCCCTCACGCCTGTGACATAAATCACCGCGCCACTAAACCGTTGTTGTTATTGCTCGTCCAAGAAGAGCAGTTTTTATCCAAAGTAATAATGATCAGTGCTTATGAGTACGAAGATGGCTGATTAGTCCAGTATAAGCCTGGAAAGTTCTTAAGCAGTGCGGACAACCGGTGGAAGCCGCAGTAAATTTGGGATTAGCAATCCGGTTCTTTCTAGTCTGCCTCCGTTTCTTCTGCCTGTGCAACCTCCGCTGTCTGGCAGGCTGATGCACCATGCCTGAGTGATGTACGCCATCCAGAACGTTTCTGTGCAGCAGCCTCCTATGTTGCTGTATTGATGCTAAAAGAGTTGAGGACAGTTTTGAAAGTGTCCTTATAGCACTTTTTTCTGTCCTCCCTGGAACCTCTTCCCTTGCATCAGCTCGCCATAAAATTCTCTCTTTAGGAGGCGATAGTCTGACATGTGGGCTAGGCGACCAGCCCAACGCAGCTGATAACTCTTCAGTGTCATGTTGATACTAGGCTGAAACTAAAGCGTCAAAGACAGATGTAGCTTACTGTCTTGCTAGTTGCATAGCTTGTGTTATGTCATGTTGCGTTTCTGTAGTGTCTTTTTTTACGCCTCCCACCCGTCTCTTTTTTTATCAACCTCTTGATTTGTACCCTGCTGACTATAAATTATCTGATTCTTAAATGTTCTGTGGAATCGCTTACAGGACACGTCCCTGTCATTATTTTTAGTTTTTTATTGGTGACTTGTCTCTTCTTCTTGTTGTTCCGCCGCGTTTCGCACGCATCTCATGCGCAATTTTGCACTAATGTCTGAATGTCTCATTATCTAATGTTTGTATACCTGATTATCTAGTCTGTAAACCGGATTATTTAATGACTCCTTGCCTGATTATCTAACGTATGTATACATGATTGTCTAGTCTGTATTCCGGATTCTTTAATAACTCCGTGCCTGATTATCTAATCATGTATACCTGATTATCTGGTCTGGTTACTGGATTATTTAACGACTCCGTGCGTGATTATCTAATGTATGTATACCTGATTATCTAATGTCTGTTACCTGATAATCTCATGTCTTATGCCTGAATATATAATGTGTTATTGTATACCTGATTATCTAATGTTATATACTTATATACCGGATTATTTAATGTATGTATACCGGATTGTCTAATGTCTGTTACCTGATAATCTCATGTCTTATGCCTGAATATATAATGTTTTATATAATCTAATGTTATATACTTATATACCGGATTATCTAATGTATGTATACCGGATTATCTGATGTCTGTTTACCTGACTTTATAATGATTCCATAACCTGATTATCTAAAATATGTATACCAGATTATCTAATGTCTGTATCCCTGATTATCTAACGTTTGTATACCCGATTATCTCATGTCTAAATACCCGATTCTCTAATGTCTGTATGCCTGATTCTGTATTGACTATATACCTGACTGTGTTTGCTGGTATACAACAGGAGGCGTCCTGGGCGAGGTGTGCAGTACAGACGACGATTGTGCCATGCTGTTTTCGGTCTGTGCTGGCGACACATGTCAGTGCGACTACGGGTGGAGCTACTCGCCCAATGATCTAGCTTGTGTCAAAGGTAAAAGGTTGATTCAAGAACTTCTCGTCCAATGATCTAGCTTGTGTCAAATGTAAGAGGTTGATTCAATAACGTCTCGTCCAATGATCTAGCTTGTGTCAAAGGTAAGAGGTTGATTCAAGAACGTCGCGTCCAATGATCTAGCTTGTGTAAAAGGTAAGAGGTTTATTCAAGAACATCTCGTCCAACGATCTAGCTTGTGTGAAAGGTAAAAGGTTGATTCAAGAACGTCTTGTCTAATGGTCTAGCTTATGTAAAAGGTAAGAGGTTTATTCAAGAACGTCTCGTCCAATGATCTAGCTTGTGTCAAAGGTAAGAGGTTGATTCAAGAACGTCGCGTCTAATGATCTAGCTTGTGTAAAAGGTAAGAGGTTTATTCAAGAACATCTCGTCCAACGATCTAGCTTGTGTGAAAGGTAAAAGGTTGATTCAAGAACGTCTTGTCTAATGATCTAGCTTATATAAAAGGTAAGAGGTTTATTCAAGAACATTTCGTCCAATGATCTAGCTTGTGTGAAAGGTAAAAGGTTGATTCAATAATGTCGCGTCCAATGAAATAGCTTGTGTCAAAGGTAAGAGGTTGATTCAAGAACGACTCATTCAACGATCTAGCTTGTGTCAAAGGTAAGAGGTTGATTCAAGAACTTCGCCTCCAATGATCTAGCTTGTGTCAAAGGTAAGAGGTTGATTCAAGAACTTCTCGCCCACTGATCTGGCTTGTGTCAAAGGTGAGAGGTTGATAATATAATTTCTTGCCCAATAATACAGTTTGTGTCAGACTTAGATGGTTGATCTTGGAACTTCTCGTGTCCACAGAAACAACGAACTCACATATTAGGGGGCTACAGGGGGCCTCCTAAAACTCATCTTCTGATCATATAATCAGTGATTTTGCATTTGGAAAACCAAGGGGAGAAAACTGTTAGAAGTTCTAACTCAAAGCCCCTTACAAGATTAAATAAATTCCACGATTTCGCAAACACATTCTTTATATTATTTGTTTCAATGAAAATGAAATGACGATATTTTTCCAATATTCATATATTTAAAAGACGTATATATTTTAGTTTTTCTTCTGCTCCGTCTTCTTTTGCCTTTCTAACCCCCAATGGAGCATTGGCCCTCAACCAACTCACGCCAAGTCGCTCTATCATTGGCTATCACATGCAGCTCTCACAATCCTCCCCCTCTTTTCAAACTCACAATCCAGCTTTCTTCTCCATGTCAGCTGGAATAATTTAAAGCGGTAGGTCCTCAGAGCTTCCTACATCTTAGGACCTCATCTGGTGTAAATCCGGCCCTGCAGTTACATTATTGCTAATGCATCATGTGAGTGAGTGAGTGAGTCAGTGACGTTTTTCACCCCCCCCCCCAAAAGACTGCACAATGGGCGATTAACACCTGGTGACACAAAGTGCTACCATTCGGATGAGAACTTCCCCACGCGCAAATTCCCAAAAAACTCCTTCAACCATTAGGTTATATTTAGGGCCCCCGATGGCAGCTACCAACCAGGTAGCCTGAAGTCGAACCGGGGTGGGATGGGGTTTCAATATTTAAATATATATATATATAAATATATATATATTATATATATAATATATATATATATATATATATATATATATATATATATATATGTGTGTGTGTGTGTGTGTGTGTTGTGTGTGTGTGTGTGTGTAATGCGTCCTTTTAGTGTTACGTATGTATTAATACGCATTTTTCTCCCGCTTGTAAAAGTGTCATATTTCACCTTACTGGCAGTGTGGGTCAGCGTTTGAGAACCACCCATCCCCACCCCCCCACCACCACACACTAACAAAGAAATGTTTCCTGGTGTCCCGTAGGGTCTCAGTCCATGAGTTGAACCTCTAGCCGAAGACTACCAGTTGTCGACACTACTTTAGTAATTACCAACAAAAGATATAAAATCGAACGGAAAGTATATCACAATATAACAAACACAAATAAAACGTGAACACGGCGGCTATGGAGCCTCCATCAGCACATACATAAATCAAACAATACAACACAAATACACAAATATGTAGTAACCAGTAATTACCATACTGTTTCTATTTCAGACTGCGTCCAGTACGGCACCGAGTTCACATACTTCACGGAAACCTTCCTGAGCCTCCATCACCATTACATCAGCTAGCTTGTCAGTACTGGCATGTCATTATGTCAGTTAGCTTGTCAGTAGTAACTATTACATTGTCATTACATCAGCTAGCTTAGCTTGTCAGTACTGGCATGTCATTACATCAGCTAGCTTGTCAGTACTAACATGTCATTACATCAGCTAGCTTGTCAGTACTAACATGTCATTACATCAGCTAGCTTGTCAGTACTAACATGTCATTACATCAGCTAGCTTGTCAGTACTAACATGTCATTACATCAGCTAGCTTGTCAGTACTAACATGTCATTACATCAGCTAGCTTGTCAGTACTGGCATGTCATGACGTCAGCTAGCTTGTCAGTACTAACATGTCATTACATCAGCTTGTCAGTACTAACATGTCATTACATCAGCTAGCTTGTCAGTACTAACATGTCATTATGTCAGCTAGCTTGTCAGTACTAACATGTCATTACATCAGTTAGCTTGTCAGTACTAACATGTCATTACATCAGCTAGCTTGTCAGTACTAACATGTCATTACATCAGCTAGCTTGTCAGTCCTGTGCTATATGTAAGTATCTTTGTTCACATCTCTCTGTTTACTACTGCTGTGACCCTACTACTAGCACATTACCTACTGTTTCTGTCACAATAACCACTAATGCTGTCACATTACCCGCTGTTTCTAACACATTACCCACTGTTGATGTCACATTACCCACTGTTGATGTCACATTACCCACTGTGGATGTCACATTACCCACTGTTGATGTCTCATTACCCACTGTTGATGTCACATTACCCACTGTTGATGTCACATTACCCACTGTTGATGTCACATTACCCACTGTTAATGTCACTTTACCCACTGTTGCCGTCACAATAACGACTGTTACCGCCACATTGGGTGCTGTTGGTGTCATCCTACCACTGTTGATATCACATTATCCAATGTCTATGTTACATTATTCACTGTTACTGATTCATTACGTGCTGTTGCTGCAACTTTACCCGTGACACTTTACCTTCTGTTTCTGTCATATTACCCACTGTTTGATGTAACGTTACCCTGTGTTACCCATGTACGCACTGCTGCTGTCACATTAACAAATCTTTATGTCACATCCCCCCCCCCACACACACACACATATATATAAATATATACATACACACACATACACGCCCAAGGTCCGACAATTAATGAGACTTATCCCATAAAAATTAAAATAATCAAGTTGAAGATATAACCAATATTTTTTTTCAAAATTAGGTCTCTTGCGTATTGATGCAGCGAGTGGCACGATCTAAAAAACACTGGAACGACCTCTGTAGTTCTTCTATTGTTGTGGTTCCTAAAGTCGACGTTACGGCCCTTTGGATGCCATCAATATTGTCAAAGAAATCTCTTTTCAATGGCGACTTTAATTTTAGGAATAGAAAATAGTGACAGAGAGACAAATCTGGGTAATAGGTTGGATGGTTGAGAACACGCCTCTTTTTTTTGGGCTAAAATTCCTGTACAACTACCGACCTTTGAGCTGATGCATTGCCACGAAGAAAAACAATTGCCAAATGTTGAATACAAAACGACAAGCAACTTTTTTCTTGCCCAAATCTTTCACTAAAATGTTACGAAAAGTCTCTGTATTAACACCAAACTCATCTACCATCATCCTCACAGTCAAACAACGATCTTCTTTAATCTGTTCTCCTAATTTTGCCATGAGTTCCTTATTTCGAACAGAAATCGGGCGTCCAGGTCTGGTTGCATTAGTAATCATTTCCACACCACTTTTGAATCGTGAATACCAGCTGAAAATCTGTGCACGAGACAAACAATTAGTCCCATAAACTTGTCGCATAAATGCAACTGTCGCAATGGCGCTTTTTCTGAGTTTTAAACAGAATTTGATGTTAGCTTTTTTTTTTTTTTTGCTCTATGCTGATTACGTAACAATGCACCTCTGACTAGGTTAACAAAATGGTGGCTTGTTTGTTGTCTGCTTATCTGGCGGCGATGAAAAGTTACCAGATCATAGACGAAGGTTGCCTCTTTGGATTCCATGCTTTGATTCATAGATGGCATTTTTGTCTTGGCCATAATAAAATCAGTCTCATTACTTAATTGTCGGACATTGTGTGTGTGTGTGTGTGTGTGTTTGTGTGTGTGTGTATATATATGTATCCGGTATATAATACTTACATAATGGCTGACATGATAGCATGTTACCTGCATGAACCACTGCGATTAAAGTATAAATATATACAGACAGAACAACTGACATGACAGTATAGATATAATACTGACAGAACAACTGACATGACAGTATAGAAACAATACTGACAAAACAACTGACATGACATAATACTGACAGAACAACTGACATGACTGTCTAGATATAATTTTGACAGAACAACTGACATTACAGTATAGATATAATACTGACAAAACAACTGACATGACATTATAGACATAATACTGACAGAACAACTGACATGACAGTATAGATATAACACTGACAGAACAACTGACATGACAGTATATACATAATACTGACAGAACAACTGACATGACAGTATAAATATAAGACTGACAGAACAACTGATATGACAGTATAGATATAACACTGACTGAACAACTGACATGACAGTATAGACATAATACTGACAGAACAACTGACATGACAGTATAGATATAATACTGACAGAACCACTGATATGACAGTATAGATATAATACTGACAGAACAACCGACATGACAATATAGACATAATTCTGAGAGAACAACTGGCATGACATTATAGACATAATACTGACAAAACAGCTGACATGACAGTATATATATATATATATATATATATATATATATATATATATATATATATATATATATATATATATATATATATATAATATGACAGAACAACTGACATGACAGAATAGATATAATACTGACAGAACAACTGACATGTAACGCTTGCATGATAACCTACATGAAACACTGACATTAGATGTACTTACATCTGCAGTTTACGGATTCAACAAAGAAATCTACTGTTCATCCAACACTCTGGCGTGTATTTATGTTTCTATGTTAGAAAACTGCATATTTTTATGTTGGTGATTCGATGATGTTCTTGTTGAGATGATCACAGATAAACAGCTTAGGAGAAAAGCGAAATCGTTTTCAAAAGAAGAAGATGGAGATGGCTTGGTCATGTTCGCTGAAGGCCTGGTGACACTTGGTAAAGACTGCTCTCCGGCGGGCAACTGACAGAGGCAGGAGGAAGCGTGGACGACCTAAGTAAAACCTCAAGAACGACAGTGGAAAGGAAAATGAGGGAAAGAATATAAAATGACAGGAGGTACCATGGGCTGAAAAGCATAAGACTGGCGTGGCATCAGTGGAGAACAGTTGTGAGTGAAGTCAACAGCCACATAAGAAAAAAATAGATTGAGGTATTTGTTTACCCTCTCCCCCGCTCTCCCCCTTTCTGTGTGTGTATGTCTGTGTGTATGTGTGTGCGCGCGCTGGGTATGTTGTGTGTGTGTTCATATATTCATAGATATCACCTGTATGTGTTTTAATAAAGTTCTTTTTGTAGCGTGACGATATCACTGTGTTAAGTTCTCGCTGTGCTGTGAAACATTCTGTCTCGCTCCATTGTCTTTTTAACTCTCTTCCTCACTCACTCTGTCTCTCTCACTCACTCTTCTCTCTCTCTCTCTCTCTCTCTCTCTCTCTCTCTCTCTCTCTCTCTCTCTCTCTCTCTCTCTCTTACTGTTGTAAAGTTTACGTTTAATAATCCTCTGTGTAGAATGGAACTTCCGCATTGTTGCAAATTCGACACTACACGGAGTAGAAACGTTCTGGACAAGTTATAGAACCATCACTAAAAAGTGATTTTTCTCTCTGTGTTGTGAATTTCTCTCTATGTTATTAATTTATCTCTGTTTTGTGAATTTGTCTCGTGTTGTGAAATTCTCACTGTGTTGTGAATTTCCCGCTATGTTGTGAATTTCTCCTTCTGTTGTGAAATTCTCTCTATGTTGTGGATTTCCATATATGTTGTGAATTTCTCTCTATGTTGTGAACTTCTCTCTGCTTTGGGAATTTCTCTCTATATTGTAAAATTATCACGTTCTTTCTCTCTAGGTTGCGAAATTCTTGCTATGGTAATAGTTTCTTAGTATGTCGTGAATATCTCCCCATGTCGTAAAGTGACATCCCAAGTGAACTAGGCATTTTCCCTGAAGTACACAGGAAATAACTCCACGCGGCCATTATTCCACGAGTACAGTGAAGAAGTTCTGAAATCATAACTGAGCATGACACTGTTGGAAGCTTTGTTACCGATCGGTGCTCCCGTAGCCCCAACCAGTCCCAGGGAAGCAGAGTTCGCCAGAGGCACCACTCCATCCTCCAGTATCTGGTCTTTGTTAGTTTCAGTATTGTACATGTAGCGGATAAACGTGGGGGAGTGGCTGTGAGAGTTTGTGGCGTACAACGTTCCGCAGATCATGAAAGCGTTGCCGACTTGTCGTTTCAGGTAAGTGGTGGACCACGTTCTCTCGATCTCCATTTTCTTGTGGTCGATCTTAGCGATGACCATGTTGCCTAAATTGGCGTCGGTGGCGTAGATTGCCCACAGGCCTGCAAATATTGTACACTTAAATTATGGTCGATATTTCTTTTTGAAAATAAATCTGGTATGTATATAATATATGAGAAGAAGGAAACTGGAACATGTTGGGGCCACTGAAAAGATCAGTGGGACAAAAAGAAAGGGGTCATAATGCGAGACTATTCTTATCAGCATTTTGTCATGACAAGGAGGGGTGTCAACACACGAACTGATACATGCTGGTGAAGATTGGTGATTGCGAAGAGGCGTGATTGTCCACGCCAGTCGACAAGGCGATTGATGATCGCAATATAACATATGGTAAAACACAAGAAAAAGCGAGGATAAGAACTCCAGCCACACATAGCTAGATAACGGCTGATGATGGTGACAGGTTCGATTCCCAGCAGGGTCACTATAGCTTCCAATTTTTATGTTGTCTAGTGTGTTCTTTTGTGGAACGTAGGTGGGTTAGAGTTTGGGCCAGTTCTAAATGTTTTAATGTAGTTAAAAGCAACAGAAAGCCGAGAAACCCAGTCTTACGACCCTCTAAAATGTTGGAGTCCTGTGACGTCATAGAGGGTAGAATATCACGAAAATAATAACAGCGAATTCAAATATGCACATAAAACATAAGATTCAAACACACGTATCCATAATGTTAAAGTCAAACATACACAGACAAAAAAAAAAGGATACTGGCCCAAGGGAGATAACCTCGGCCCATTGCCTCTTCGCTTATTTAGGTCAATCATTCAGGATCCTCCTTGGTAACCACTTCCTGTCCATTTTAGGATAAAAATTGTCATTATTTGAAGCCCTACTCTGGTTCTTGCCAGGGGCCGCAATATAGCCCGGCCAATAATAGGGCCTAATGGCTGAACGCGGTTTCTGGGACCTCTCCACAGTGATCCTCATCCACATGGTAGCACTTTGTATCATCGGGTGTTTATCGCTTGTGTGATGTCCTGGTGGGGTAGAAAGTCAGTCAGACATCCTCCTTGGCGATGTGTTTAAGCGGTTTGTCTCACGCTCTGAAGATGGCGGGTTCGTGTCACGGCTGCTTCAGTTTGTACACGGGTGCATTTTTTTACGGAAATTTCCAGGGATCGTCGCCGGGGTTACAGTGTTTTATCTTTGTGCTACACTCTAGGCAGGTGGCTAGGCGTGTGTGTTTTTTTTTTTTGGGGGGGGGGGGGGAGAGATTGAGAAATTTGAAATTAAACCCGGTGCACATAAGTAGATCCTCTCGAAAAGGATCAACGAAAGTTGTTCGCCAGGCGCCAATACCGCCATTGCTCATATGCTAAAAGTATTTGTTCCTTTGGTATGCAAGGCAAAGAAAAAGCTGATAGACTGGCAGGTTCCACATTAATTGCAGATGACTGGCCCATGGATCACGCAGGCATTGCCAGCTCCCTTAGAGATATAGGACGTTCGGAGGACTGTGAAAGCAACGTGTCCGCATCACTACAGGGAATAAGAGAATTGGGAGTGAAGATCGGCACAGCCAAGCATGAGAAGCATGCACACGAGAAGCATGCTGCGTGACGCGGATGAATAAGTTGACGAGGGAATCTGAGCACCTATGGACGTGTCCGGAGTGCTGTGGAGATAATCCAACTCATAACTCATATGCTACAATTAAATAAACAACTGACCGAGTTCATCGACTGCCAAGTCTATGTCCGTGTTTGCTCCGGAAGTGTAGGGTTGGGAGTTGCCAAACTTGGCTCCAGGAAGAGCCAACTCCGAGACGATCTCCTTCCGCTTCAGGTTGTACTTGACGATCAGGTTCGTGTCGGTTTTGTGGCAGTAGAAGTGGCGCCTGGAAACATATAGTGACATGTGATATTTGACAACCAGACAGTGACGGGGATACGTGTCAAAGAGGTCGCTTAGTCAACAAACTTGATGTCAACAATTAGAATAAAATGGTATGGTCATATGGTCAGAACGGGACAAAACCAGTCAGCAGCTAGAGCGTACTGAGAACAGCAGGCTACAAGACAAAATGTTGACTAAGAAAGATTTGGGTGGATGAAGTAAAATACTGTATGAAATTAACACAAGCTAAACTAGCAAAATACATGAAACAACGCCTAACTCTTCTCTGAGACATTTCACGGCAGAAGCAGAAGTAAGAAGAAGAAGAAGAAGAAGAAGAAGAAGAAGAAGAAGAAGAAGAAGAAGAAGAAGAAGAAGAAGAAGAAGAAGAAGAAGAAGAAGAAGAAGAAGAAGAAGAAGAAGAAGAAGCAGAAGAAGAAGAAGAAGAAGAAGAAGAAGAAGAAGAAGAAGAAGAAGAAGAAGAAGAAGAAGAAGAAAAAGAAGAAGGCGGATGTTGACGACATCATCCATCGAGTGTCGATCGGCCGGTATACACACACCTTTTACCACGCCTTTGGAATATTGGGCAAATAGGGCTAGACCTATATATTATAGGCCGATCGACACTCGATGGATGATGTGGTCAACATCCTCCTCTTCTTCTTCTTCTTCTTCTTTTTCTTCTTCTTTTTCTTCTGCTTTTTCTTCTTCTTCTTCTTCTTCTTCTTCTTCTTCTTCTTCTTCTTCTTCTTCTTCTTCTTCTTCTTCTTCTTCTTCTTCTTCTTCTTCTTCTTCTTCTTCTTCTTCTTCTTCTTCTTCTTCTTCTTCTTCTTCTTCTTCTTCTTCTTCTTCTTCTTCTTACTTCTGCTTATGCCGTGAAATGTCTCAGAGAGGAGTTAGGTGTAGTTTCATGTATTTTGCTAGATTAGCTTGTGTAAATTTCATACTGTATTTTACCTCATCCACCCATCTCTTTCTTGGTCGGCCTCTTGTCTTGTAGCCTGCTGTTCTCAGTACGCTCTAGCTGCTGACTGGTTCTGTCCCGTTCTGACCATATGACCATACCATTTGATTCTAATTGTTGACATCAAGTTTGTTGACTACGGCACCTCTTTGACCCGTATCACATACACATTTATAATGTAAGTGCAAAGCGAGAAGTACAACCAGTCAGCTTCACTAGTAATACAATCATGTACGACAAAATGAACGTTGCGGCAAGATAGTCTTCATCAGCATACGTTACAAAATGCAAGTGTGCTCAGCGACTCAATGAACATGCTACAGAAGATCAAAACGGGGTACATACAGAAACAATGGCTCCATCTGATACAGCTCGCAGTGTTTCGCAAAATGTCAATTCGGACTTAGCTCACAGTTCTTATATTCCTAGAGTCGGACTTATCTCACAGTTCTTATATTCCAAGAGTCGGACTTAGCTCACAGTTCTTATATTCCTAGAGTCGGACTTAGCTCACAGTTCTTATGTCCCTAGAGTCGGACTTAGCTCACAGTTCTTATATCCCAAGAGTCGGACTTAGCTCACAGTTCTTATATTCCTAGAGTCGGACTTATTTCACAATCTGTTGATGAATGTTTTTGCCTTTCATCCAGTCTTCCGAGTGTGTAAAAACATTTTGTGAATGTATATTTAATGGATCCAGGCTAGAACGGGCTCGTCTCCCCGGATTCTAGTGTAGGATATGAAAGACAATGAGAGAGCAGACGCTCTGGCTGGCAGTACAACTATCAAGAATGGGTCATCTATGGGCAGTAGAGACATCATCAATACCCTACGACAGACTTAATGGTGTGAGGCTTTCAGTTTCGTGGGAAATGATTTTTCACTGTATATACTGCATACCCTGGGTGTTCCAGTTGGAGCTGTGAGATGGGAAAATCTATGTGGGAGCCACATGTCTTTACATCAGCCAGAACAGAATGGGAGTTGTTAGCCTAAAACACTTGGAGACATATTCAGGAGCAGATCGGAGCACTTAAATGGTTATGCCCGATGTGCGATGACGACGATCTCGAAATAAAACGATGAATGCTACAAACCTGTACACAGCATGGCCCGTCCCCGAGCAAGAGAAGGGAAGTGTGAAGTACTTGCCCACCAAATTGTAATCGATCTCTGCAGACGAGTAGTACTCGCGCAGCTCCGAACTAGGTCCACTGTCGGCCATGATAAAGATTGACCGGTGCTCTTTGGCGTTGACAGACTGAACCATGTAGGCGCCCGTCGCCCACTGCATGTCCTTGGCGGTGCCCCTGCCGATGGCAGAGATCTGCTTGGGGCATTTTCCTGGGTAGATGAATATACAGCAGTTAACATTTTCAGTACCACGTGTTTTACACAGTAGAAACACCCCCTCCACCCCCCACCCCACCCCCAACAAAAAACAAAAACACAGTGCTTTATTAATATCCTTTCCCAGACAGCGGAAATCAACAGGTCACGGGAAAGTCTAATATTTGAGGGAGCGCTAGATAGGCTGTATGCAGTCTTGGGACCTAGGCTGCATGCAGTCGTGGGACCTAGGCTGCACTCTCTCGTGTTACGTTGGTGGGTTGGGGGTTAGGGCGAGTTCTAATGTTTTGGGGTCGTTGAAAGCATCAGAAAGCCGGGAGACCCAGTCTTAGCACAATCTAAAATTTGGACAGTGACGTCATCTGGGGTAGGATTTTAATAAAGAACCACACACACACACACACACACACACACACACACACACACACACACACTTCGAAGAAAAAAAACTGCTCTATGACTTTCTAAGAAAATAAATACACAGTAAAAATAACCACACTAGACAGCCAGATTTTTTAGTATGCTGTGACTAAATAAAACAAGTTCCGGTGATTCTTACATGATTAGTTGGATTCCCGAGGAAGAAATAGTTACTTATGACACGTGTTTTGGGACTTTCGGAGTTAAAGGTGTAGTAACATGTAACAGTGCCTTGTTTTCTAGCAACAAAAGTGACGGCACCAATCATAAATCGCCTATTACAGAAGCGCTGTGGGGAAAACAACGATGTTTAAAAACGGTGCCGATACTGAGTATATTTATCAATGTATGTTGGGAAAGAACAGGCGGGCTGATTGGCTGGCTCTGCACATCTTGGTGAGATATTGATACATGATTCAGCAGACGTGGTTAAGGCCTTTTGAGAGAAGGTGAACTATTTGGAACAGCAAATGGATCACTACAGTCTGTTGAGAGTGATGCAGCGGGGAGTAACGACTTGATTTGGCCGATGATCGACACTCAGAGGAAAGGCATGACGGACGTATAATCAAAATGCTACTAGCATCGCTGCAAGTGTACGAGGGGAAGTCAATAAGTAAGTCACAAATGGTTGCTAAAAAACTAAAGACAATAACAATTTTAAAACCGTTTATCTTTACATATTCACTGTACTTTTACTTTAACATAATTTTCGCCAACATTTCATGCACTTGTCTCAATTTTTTATCAGTCATCCCAAACCTGCGTGCTCTGTTTTTCTAAACCACATTTTCACTTCACATTCAACTTCTGCTTCATTCGCGAAATGTCTCCCGCCAAAGTAGGTTTTTAGTCGACCAAAAAAGGTGGAAATGGCTAGGGGCTAATTTGGGGCTGTAAGGTGGATGTTCCAGAAGTTCCCACCCTAGATGGTTAATTTTCTCTTGAGTAAACTGAGCCTATGTGTTCTGATATTGTCACGAAGGAGCAGCACTCCTCTAGTCAGCAAGTATGAACGTTTTCTTCAAACTGCATCATGAAGCATCGATGCCAGAACATTGTCAGCAAAACCTTCCGTGCTGATGGCGTAACTTTGAATTTTTGAAAACAATGTAAAGAATGATGTTTCCATTGCACTGAAGCACGCTTTGATTTGAGCTGGTAGTGATGCACCCGTGATTCGTCCCCAGTAATAATCCTGTTCAGCATGTCCTCTCCTTCATAGACAGAGATGCTTAAAGAACAGACCAAAACGGTTAATTTTATGTTCGTCCGTCAGTTGCCTAGGTACCCACCTTGAGTACACTTTCTTAAATGTCAGTCGATCATGAAATACGTTTCATGTTGAACTATGTGAGCAACCTATTGCAGCTGCTACCGAATCAACTTTTACTTGCCTGTCAACTCTAATCAACTCGTTCTCCCGCTGCACGGATGCGTCTGTTGCAATCTCAACAGGACGAAAAGATCGGAATTAATCAACAATTTTAGAGCATCCTTGAGGGAAAAAATGGTGCACAGGTATGCACCGCTTTATGGTATAAACATTTGTTAGCATAAAACGAAGCCTTTCCTTATGAATGTCCTTTGTAGGCAGTCCTTTTGTTGTTCTTTGGGGGTACACCATATAAATACAGTCGCCCTGTTGTTTTAGTGTTGCGAATGTGCGTGAAATACCTAAGCACCACTTAACGAACGGAGACAAAAAGTTCAATGTTGCTGTCACCTAATGACACCTTTAGGAACCACCGACTATGTTTTCCCACCAAGCCAATAAAATGTGTGGCTTATTTATTTACTTCCAATCATATACATAAAAGACAAACAGTCAGAAAAAAGAAAGAGCATTCACAGATAAAAGAAATATTTATTGAAGGGAAGGAAAGAAAGAAAGAAAGAAAGAAAGAAAGAAAGAAAGAAAGAAAGAAAGAAAGAAAGAAAGAAAGAAAGAAAAGAAAAGAAAGAAAGAAAGAAAGAAAGAAAGAAAGAAAGAAAGAAAAAGAAAAGAAAGAAAGAAGAAAGAAGAAGAAAGAAAGAAAGAAAGAAAGAAAGAAAGAAAGAAAAGAAAGAAAGAAAGAAAGAAAGAAAGAAAGAAAAAAGAAAGAAAGAAAGAAAGAAGAAAGAAAGATAAAGAAAGAAAGAAAGAAAGAAAGAAAGAAAGAAAGAAAGAAAGAAAGAAAGAAAGAAAGAAAGAAAGAAAGAAAGAAAGAAAGAATGAATGAAAGAAAGAAAGAAATGATAACAGCACCCCGACATCTGGTGTGGTCAAGCAGGAGAGCTTACCTGCGGACTTGGAGGTCAGGTCATGGCCGTGCAGGAACTCTTGTCTAGTGATTTCCTTGGACAGCCGTTTCCGCAGTCTCCGCAGTTGGTCGTGCAGAGTGGACACCTGTAGGGAGAAACAGAACAGTGCCAGTAAACTTGGAATGCTAGTGATCACGAACAATCGTCTTCATCTTCATTATCATCATCGTCATCATCATCGTCATCATCGTCATCATCATCATCGTCATCACCATCATCGGTATCATCATCGTCATCATCATCATCGCCATCATCGGCATCACCATCACCGTCATCATCATTATCGACATCATCATCGTCATCATTATCATCATCATCGGCATCATCATCATCATCAATGGCATCATCATCGTCGTTATACTATCATCTGCATCATCATCACCGTCAACATCATAATCATCATCGTCACAATCATAATCATCCTCTTTAACATCATAATCATCATCGTCAACATCATAATCATCATCGTCAACATCATAATCATCATCATCAACATCATAATCATCATCTTCAACATCATAATCATCATCGTCAACATCATAATCATCATCTTCAACATCATAATCATCATCTTCAACATCATA